TGGTAGCACATGTCTGCCAAGCATCTTGCTTCAGAAGCGAGTCAAGAATACTTCCTGACATTCGGAAAACAAAGAGAGGAACACGCTAGCAAGTGTGCAGGTGTGCGTCATATGAGAGGCCCCGCCTTACATCTTCCGCCACAGATTTGGGGAAATTGGTCCGTGCGCAAAGCATTGTGGGGATTTTAAGACCGCGAAGTCTACTCATGTGCACACTCGATATTTCTCCAAACGGAGTACGCCGGGCTCGGTAGATTTCCAAGTATACTGGAGATTGGAACAGTACTTCGGCGGCACTCGATGACGTAGTATGCTTGAAATAGTGGCTCTGAAGCAGCTTTACTCGCGATTGAGAAACACCCCCGGTCAGGGACACGCAGAGATTCAAAGTTAAGCTACCGCTAATGAATAACGTTCTACTTCCGGTTGGCGGAAAGCGGCAGCCGATGCTCTTATTGTGAAACGCTACAGACATGCTACTTCCGGTAGCCGAGTAGCGGAGCAATAAATGAACTCTAAACACATAATATCTCACCTTTAACGCCACATAAACATTTATCCACATAAACTACATCCCATTACATTAATAATAGGTCTGTGCCACTCAACACGGTGTATATACCCCTAACTTTTAGACAGGAGTGCCGACTCATTTGACGAGTGACTTAATGAGCAGCCATCATAAATATGCACGCAGCATGCACAGATCACATGAGCACGGAGACTCTGCATTAAGCCACATCGGCACAGAAGTTATCACAATAATAATAAAGTGTAGAACAACATAACAGGCAGCACTGTGGACAAACACTCACGTTCATTTACGCACACAAGACGAAGGTTAAGACGGCATAACTTTCCTGCAACTACTGATGCACATTACCCTCTGATGTATGACGTCACCCAAAACACGTGGGTTAGCCCCTCCCCACTATGAAGGCACAACTTAACAGGTATAAACTCTGTATAATAAAATAATATATATATATATCAATTTATAAAACGGACAAGTAAAATCAAGCAATCTGATTGGTTCTTAGCCGTGGTATACTGAGCGTATACCACGGGTAGAATTGTAAGTTACTTTTCACAACAACTCAGTAACCCTCCGCGTCTGAGATAAACAGTATACAGTTGGGCCGAAAAGCAAAACTGGAACAAGAAAGCAGCGGAGAAGTAACGGAGCAGAAACCCTCCTTTTTACGCAACGGTCCAGACATAGACATCAAACGGCAAAAACATATTCAGTGTGCAGTTCCTTTGGCATTAGGGCAGGGATATTTAGATACTTTCCAAGGTTTGACATAATGAATTGTGCTACTTTTAAAGCGAGCAACGATGTTTTCAAATCTGTAATCAAAAAGGTCCGCAAAAACATTTAAGATTAACTTCGACCTCCGGGGGGGGGGGTTGTCTTACTATGGAGGAGTGGATTGAGGAGTGCCTATCTCCAGAACAAAAAGCACCTAAACGACGACATGTAGAGCTACGTGAAGAGCAGGTAGACCAACTGGAAAAGTATCACCATTCAAAAGCTTTCTGATGCGGGTCTTGAAACAAAGCAGAGAAATTATGACCGTTAGTGGCCACAGGTGCGAAAGCTCTCTCCAGAGCTACTGGAAGCCGAATCTCGGGGACCGGAGAAAGTGGAGCAATATTCTCGCCACGCAAAGCAACAGCCTCGAACAACCTCAACCTATACAAGTAACCACGTAAGCCATGCTACTGATGCTGGACAGTTTTTCAGTGAGTGCACAATAAACGGCAACATACACATTAATGTAAATAAATAGCCAAATAATGGATCAACGCTCTCTGTCTAATATGTTCGCTAGCTGTTGTTAGTGTTGTTGCATAGCAACCACCTCGCACTATGTTTCGTGCAGAAGGCAACAGAGGGACTATTTTATTTTGAACATCATTATTTACTAATAAAAACTATTTAAATTAGAGTGTGTATTTTTCTTTCATATTGCCACACTTGGTAACCGTTTTATAAAAGCAATAGCTCACTTCAGGCCGTGATATATGCTCATTATATCACAGCTAAGGGGGTTGAACCACGCGGCTTAGCTGTGATATAATGAGCATATACCACGGCCTGTCGTGAGCTATTGCTTAAATCTATAACTTTGGGGCCTTTTCTACATATATTCTATTGTGTATTCCTTGGATAGAGACACACGTTTTCACTAAGCGGAAAAACTATATCCTCTCACAGAGATCTGCTATTTTAAAGTCAAGTCAACACATATCGACCCTAAATAAAGTCTATATTAAGAACGAGAGATGTTTTAACATATGGCTTAAACAAATGATAAATGAGCGAGGGTGATGACGTCAGAGCATCGTCCTATGTGCCGGGGCTGAGCCCCGGACAGCCCCGGCCCAATTTAACCCCTGGTCACAACTATCCTTCAGCAAAGTGACACACTCTGTCACTCTTGTTGGCCTCTAGGCTCTTATGACAATGCTGTCTTTTAAATAGGATTATTTCTCTGCTCCAATTCATTCCTCGCAGATTCTTCCATCAGTCCCAGTCATTGCATGTCAGTCAATAGAGATTTGAAAAATGTGTCCAATTCAACAAAATGTTTTTTTGTGAGTGAAGGCCAGAGCTAAATGATAGATTGTTTGATTGTGTAATTACAAGGTGAGAGAAAACAAATCCACATCCTCCTATGAAACATATTTTATTTCCATTTCCATGTTATACTTATACTTACTTGCATTAGAACATTTGCATGTTGAACTACATGCTGGATATCTTCCCCAGCCTCAAGGAAATACATTAAAATAAATGGATTCATAATAAAAAAATTGATAAAAATGTATAAATTAATAATGTTGTGTGCAAACATTTCAAATTTAAATATACAATGAAAAAAAAGTTTACTTTTTAAATGATTTCTCACAAAAACCTTTCTAAATTATAGTAAATTATTTTAAAAAGTTTAGTCTATATATGTTTTTCTGCCTAAAATAGTTGAAATTGAACGTAAACTATATCAAACACCACATGCATGGCAATTAACCAATGTTTGCCCGCTATTTAAATTGACTTTGGTTGAAGTTAATAACAATATTGATATGATATAGATATATAGCATATCATTGATGCAGTCTTTCTGAACACTTTTAAAATAAAATACTGCAAATGAAGAATATCTGTAATGTTCTGCACAGATAGTGCCTTAACTTGAATTTGAAAACACGTGGCAACTTTATTAATACAGCAGATGAAAAGATTTGTGGAAGGATACATTCTTCATGGGCTTCAATGGCTCTCTAGATAAAGGGCGTTTTATGGGTGCTTGTATTATCCTCAGATAGTGGTTTGTTTAAAAAACTAGTGACATTTTAATAAATATTGAAAAAAAGGGCTCCAAAAAAAGCACATATCCTGGCCGGCAGTGTGTATTTCTTCAAGCACCACAAGATTCATAGTGTCATTTCTCCAAACACATAGAGTAAAGATGCCTGTTTTGAAGCCTTCAAATGGTTCAGGAAAAGGACTTTACAGTTAAGAGAAGAGAAAAAAGGAAAGAAAATTGTTATAATGGGTGATGTAACATTAATGACAGACATAATATGAGGTCCTTGGCACTCAGACTCTAGAGGGGTCATTTTGTGATCATGGGGCATCACCCTAGCAGCATCAGGACAATATCATATGGAGTCAGACACTGGAAGTGTGCTGGAGGCGTTAACTGGGACTGATGGAAGGATGAGGCTGATGAGACTGAAGAATCTGCGAGGAACGAACTAGCGGCTGAGAAATAATCATATATTAAAAGACAGCAACATCATAAGAGGCCAACCAGAGTGACAGGGTGTGTCGTAGTACCAGATATTTCCATACAACTACTGGCTAGTGTTCAATAGCACCCTAGACAATTCAGTAATGGTATATTTTTTTTAGGGATTTCTGTTTTTCTGATAAATGAGAGAAAAGTGATGGAGTCCCATGTTCTTATCACCAAAAAGTACAATTTCCGTCTAAACTAAAGCTAAGTTTACAGGACTATAATTCAGTATTTCTTTAGTTAAATAATTGTCTGACTATTTGGTGATGTAGGACAGCCACCTGGTTCATACCTCAGCAAATCTAAAGAGGAAAAGAGTGATCATTCTCAAGTTATTGGCTTTTTTGTCACCTTTCCTATATTCGGCCTGGTCCAATTTGGCTCTTTTTCAGGGATTGGGGTAGTTCTAAAGAACAACCAAAAAACATTTTTGCCCCCAAAATAACATTTAACAACAATCAATTTCATTAATGGCAGACCCTAAAGATAAGAAAAATCATTGTTGTGTTTTGTTCTACCTCGGGTAGGGGTATCTCGAAATCTGAGGGCCCTTCCTGCTAGACTATAAGTCAAGCTTAAAGATATTAAAACCACGTGCAAGTCAAGTCTCAAGTTGTTTAAGAAGAGTCCAAATCAAGTCAAAAATAAATAATTTTAATAATTAAAACATGTCAATACAAGTCCAATTTTGTTTCATTCAACATGTCCAGATCAAGTCTTATCAAAATGAGTTCAAGTCAAATCTCAAAAACTAAAGCCTGTTTTGAGGACTTGCTGCTAGATGTGTTTGAATGACATGAACGTTGTCCAATATATTAACTTTTTAAATAAACGTCCAAGGCTCAAGCGACTCAAAGACAACTCTGACGTCCACAGAAAACATGTAAAACAAGTAGCCTTTCATCAGACCCCCCCAAGTGCACAGTGACATGAACTCGATCCCAACAGACACATCTTTAAATGTTCACTGATTAACAGCATCACTAACTTGCTGCACACGAGACGCAAAGCCCAGCGGTCCAGGGAGGCCCTTGTTGGTGCATTTCCTGTATGTTTCTGACTCCGGTGTTACACATTAAAATGACACACTTGTTCTGACGTCTTAGAAAGCTGATCGTTTTAATGTTCCACCTTTATCCCCGTAAGCAACAACGTCTTTCTGAGGACCTTTGCTCCCGCTTGTCCTGTTTAAAAACCCAAAGCAGAGACATGTCAGCGGTACCTTAGTAGAGAGATGCTCAGAGCTCACTATCAAGGCTGCACACACTGTCTTTTAAATTACTTGTGAGCTGTTTTTAAAGAGCTTTCTTTAGCCATGACCACTTTTGATGACATCTTGGAGGAAGCGGGGAAGTTTGGCCGCTGTCAGAAGCGGATCTTCGCCCTGTTTTGCTTGGTGTCCATGCCCTGGGCCGGGGTCTACGTGGGCATCGTCTTCCAGGGATTCACCCCGGATCACTGGTGCAGAGACCCCGCGGTGGTGGAGAGGAGGCAGACGTGTGGATGGAGCCTGACGGAGGCTCGCAGGCTGACGGTGCCTCAGGGGAACAGATCTGAGAGCAGCTGTGAGCGGTACGAGGTGGACTGGAACTCCACGGCTCTCAGCTGTGATTCAGAGGAGCTGGACCTCAGCAGAATCCCAACAACGGCTGCCTGCAAGGACGGCTGGGAGTACGACTACGAGGGGAGACAGTCCTTTGTTACTGAGGTTAGTAACTAGGGAAGAAATGCAATGTGAGGTGATGCAGGCTGGAATTATTTAACTTTTAATAAGGTTCTGAAGGACACTTCTATTGCAGGACAAAATACAATGCATGTAAAGGTCCCATGTCATGGCCATTTCTACTGATCATAATTCCATTGTTGAGGTCTACTAAAATAGATTTTGGTTTCTCATACAGCATCTCTGTATAGTATGTGTATTCACTCTCTGTCCTAAACGGCTTGTTGGAGCTCCTGCCCCCCCCCTCCCTATGAGCCCAGTGGCTGTCTGTGAGACAGCGAGACACAGCGAGACAAAGCGAGACACAGCGAAGCCATCCTGAACACACACACACACACACCCGCATCCTGGCTGGGAGTTTGTGTGTGTGCTCACACACCGAATCACAGCCTCGCCGCGTCCCGCCGTCTCAGGGAGGAGAAATCGGCGGAGCTGCAGCTGAGAAAAGATTGAGTGTGTGTGTGTGAGGAAGTCCGCGGATTGGTCAATTGTAACCAATCCACGGAGGGGTCGTCGTTACGTCACTTGGTTCCCGGAAGAAAAAAATGGAAAAAGAGAAATGTCCAACAAGGCGTTCTGGGGCAGCATAGACAGGTCTTTTCTGTGTTAGAGTTTTACTCACTACAGGGTGTACTTTGAGGGTTTGTGACTCTGCAGACCGTTTACATGCAGAAAAACCTTCATAACACACAAGGGGACGGGGAATAACCAGAAAAGCATGACATGGGACCTTTAAAGTACCGTAGGTCATGGGTTAAAGTCTATGGTGGATGGAAGAAAAAGTAAGAGAGAAGACAAAAGCAAAGAAAATAAGTAAAAATATATATTCAAATGAATAAAATATAAATAGAATACATTTACTTTAATGCTAGTATAATTTTCTTCTTACAACACACTGATTCCCAAGTTGTGTTGTGCTTGTTAAGTGCAGAAAAATACAAATAATTGTAAAGGAATTTATGAGACTTAACAAAAATAGCCACCAGCATGCACACAATTTCTAACTAGTAACAACTTTGAGGCAGTTTTTATATGTATTTTTGTTGTGTGTGTGTGTGTGTGTGTGTGTGTGTGTGTGTGTGTGTGTGTGTGTGTGTGTGTGTGTGTGTGTGTGTGTGTGTGTGTGTGTGTGTGTGTGTGTGTGTGTTAGTTTGACCTGGTGTGTGCAGATGGATGGTTGGTGGATTTGTTCCAGGCTTCGCTCAACGTGGGCTTCCTGGTGGGGAGCATCGCTCTTGGCTACCTGGCCGACAGGTGAGCTTAATATTAGTTTCAATCTGTTTTTGACAGAAGTTCAGTCAAATGACTATGACTCTGTTGGATATAAGTAATACCGCGTTGTTCTTACTGTGGCTTCATTATTTCAAAGGTTGTTGTTTTTTTGTAATATTGTCTGTGACCTTTTCTTTTCTTTACATAGTTAGTCAGGTTAAGCAAGCAGTGGAATATCCAGATAAAAAGTTTTCAGTTAAATAGAAAAAAAAGGACAATATGCAAACTGAAATCAGTACAAAATATAAATATACATGTACAAATATAATCAATAAATAAAATCAGTTAAATATCTGAAAATTATAAATAAAATATCTATAAAATAAATTCCTAAAAAATGATTAGTAAAGTATCTGACGTGCAATTCCAATGCATTGCAGAATCAAAGCAAAATGCTAAAGAGGAAAACAGGTGATCTTTTACATGAGTGTGGAAAAAGCTATCTACTCATACATTGCTGCTCCATAAACCTGTTTTCTAAAGCATTATTTCCGTCTCTCGTTTCTCTATTACTTCCTCAGGTTCGGCAGGAAGATCAGCTTCCTGATGTCCAACGTGTTGAACGCGGTCACGGGGATCATGGTGGCCGTGGCTCCGAACTACGTGGCGTTACTGGTCTTCAGGACGCTGTACGGCTTCGGAGTGAAAGGAGGCTGGGTGGCCGGATACGTGCTGAGTAAGAGCGACCTTTGACCCCACAGCTGGGACTACAAACACCAGTGTCGTGGCTTCCTTCCTTCTTTTTCTATCAAGCCACTACATGTAGATGCCTTAGACCAGGGGTTCCCAACCTTTATTGTGCCAAGGACCGGTAGATACATTAAAAAAAATCGCGGACCGGTTGTCAATTTTAACTGATTTTAATATTTACTCACCACCAGCAGGTAGCAACAGAGGCTAATTGTATGTAACAGCCTGAACAAATACTAGAACAATATGCATCCAAAACATATTAACAAAGTTTAAAAAAGAACCGGTGTTGTTTTTTTGGTTTTTCGGAAAACCAAAAAACCGACGTTATTCAGTTTTTAAACCAAAACGGGAAAACAGATAAATCAACGTTTTGGTTTTGTTTGTATGATTTACGGATAATCCAGTGAATGCTGGGAAAATGTCGTTCATTCCGGTGCACTCCCGACAGCATTTAGCATCGAGATTAAGATTAAACTAATTTATTTTGGGAACAGCCGCATATATGCCGGTGTCGGACAGACACAAACACACCGAACACACAGAGCTGAGCTGAGCAGAGCACATACACACACACATCATGCGCCTTGGTGACTGACTGGACATCTCCTTCATAAAACTAATAAAAGGGGGAGTAATCGGGCAGTTCGATGTGTGTAGATGTGTGTGTGGTTAACACGTAGCAGCCTGCAGTCACTCTTAAACTGTTCTGATTAAGTTAAACACAGCGAAGGCGGTGCGTAAAAAGGCACAGCTCTTTACCGAGTATAGGCCTACGTCCCGCTGCCTCCTGATGCTGCAGCCATTTCATGAAGGAGGGTTTCCTTCTATAAAACAGCTGCGGGCAGCAGATCGTGAGAGTCCCGGACATTAATTCATAGATCAAGGCATACTGGTTTACTCTCCTGTTTTGCCAATCCAGTGCTTAAACAAATAGCTCTACACCCCTGGCCGACATGTCCTTAAAATGAAGTCCGAGTTTGAAATATATCTCAAATAATGTATGCACCACCATTTCCCCACATAAACATAACAGTCTGCAATCAAACGGTTGTCTCCTGTGCGCTCCTCTTCCTACTTGGCGCACCGGTAACATGCTCGTGCGCACAAGAGGCTGAGACCTTAGGCTGAGCTGCCGAATCCCTCGGAACATCATAAAAGCCATTTTCAACGGTTTTCTGGTGAAAGATTAACTAGCTACTGGATGAAATAATATGACTGGTGGCATAGGTGCGAAAATTAAACACTTTTTGAAAAAAATATTATGATAAAATATTTTTATATATTTATAATTCTGCAAATATTACGATAAACTCACAGCTATTTCGCGGCCCGGCAGTAACACCTCCGCGGCCCGGTACCGGTCCGCGGACCGGGGGTTGGGAACCCCTGCCTTAGACCAATACGTCCCACAAAGGAAACTTGAGCTTGTCTTGTATTGTACTTCTTAAATATATCTGTAAACATATATGACACAGTAGTATTAATATGTTAAGACCACTTTTCACATAAATTCAGTCAATTAAAGTTGGAAACATTTTCTAACATATCTAAGTTGATAGGAAAAAAGCCCAATGACTTATTTACATAACAAGCTTGAAATACACCCTTGATATTCCTCCTTATTATAATCAATCTGAGGCTTCTGTTTTAAGGGATGAGCTGCCAACACTCACAAGCATCATTTACCTACATTTGATTAATTTTGCTAACTTATAACTGAACTTATGAGGCGATATACCTCCATAGAGTGGCCCGGCCCTTCGTATATTTTCCTGTATGTGGCCCTCGGTGAACAAAGTTTGGACACCCCTGCCTTAAACAGAAATGTTTTACTTGTTTTCTTTCCCTTATATTACGTACAGTTGAAGTGTTGCTTGGCCTCCGATGGTTTGGATTTTATTATACGATGTGTTTGCTCCAAATAAAATAACAAACTTTGACACATGCAACAGAGAAAAGAGTCCTTTACAATAGTCAAAACAAATAGGCAAAACTCAAATAAAATAACAAACAACTTAGGTATTCTTTCTGTCTTGATAAGGCTTATATAACTCAATAACTTAAAGGGTAATTGAACGTCCGTCACTTTAGAGGAGGCGCCGTGGGAATTGTAGTCTTTCATAGTGTTAGTAAAGTATCTAATATTCCGTAAAAAAGCAGACACATTTGTATTTATTTTGTACGTACACCCCGTCCAAAGCATTGCAGAATCAAAGCAGAATGCTCAAGAGGAGAACAGGTTGACTACAGACGTCACAATTAGTTGGCCTTTCTTATAAAAACAAAAATACTGGCTCTAACAACCAGCTTTATTATTATTATTATTATTATCAAAACACGTTGTTATTGTTATCCTCTCAGTCACGGAGCTGGTGGGGGTGGAGTACAGACGCACAGTGGGGGTCCTGTACCAGATGTTCTTCAGCGTCGGCATCCTCATCCTCCCTCTGCTCGCATACTTCATCTCTGACTGGCGCTGGCTGCAGGTCGCCATCACCGCCCCTTACTTCATCTTCCTCTCATACTACTGGTGAGAAAACACAATTTAATGCTTTAAACATGGAGGGAACCGGTTCTCAGTTTCATCCCACAGGCCCGCGGGGGGCCTAACAGACACGCTGCAGCGGCGTGCACACAGATTTTAAAGAGTAGTAGTACCGTTAAAAACCTTAACGATACCCATCCCTAGATATTACACAAGTAAAGTGTTAAGAGAGTGAAATGTTGCTTTACGAATTTCACCACTTGATGCTGTCACCTTGATTACAATTTCAGATTCCTGTATTTGCCCAACTTAATTAGTTTAAAGAGAGAAAACATTTTGACTAAAAGTTGACTAAAATGTAATTTTTCATCGACTAAAACTTGACTAAAACTATGAAGGATAAAAAGGACTAAAATGTGACTAAAACTAATAACCATTTTCATCTTAAGACTAAGACTAAATCAAAAATAGCTGCCAAAATGAACACTGCATATCTACACTGTAGCTTTGATCACATGACAATAAAAGCCTTGAATCTCGTATTTTGAGAAGATGATAAATAGCTTGAAAATTATTACATTTCATTTAGCTGACGCTTTTATCCAAAGAGACTTACAATTACCAATGACAGGGACATTCTCCCTGGAGTAACTGAGGGCTAAGTGCCTTACTCAAGGGCACACTAGTAGTGCTGTTCCAGGCGGGATTTGAACTCACAACCTTCCGATCTTCAGCCCACCTCACTATCCATTAGACCACCACCAAATGACCTGAATACATGAAAATGGTAAAGCTATGGTCACTTTTCCAGTATTAATTATCTCCATCACAAAGCATACGTAACAAAATAAACACATCTCGATACATAGATTAACTACATAACAGATGACACATCCGAAAAGAAATAATAGTAATAATAATATTACAAATAAAAGAATGGATACATTATTAATACTCAGGTATACATTAATTCCCCAATTCATTTCTATTGAAGCCCAAACAAATTGAAACATGTACGCCGCTTTAAAACGATGTTACGTCGACTTACAACTACACTATAGTGCATTGTGAACTATGAATGGACTCCTTTAGCATCTAACACTCATCATGTCCAATAGCAGGGTTCATATAAAGGCTTTATTTTGACCTTTGAAGCTTACTTAGCACAGAGATTCATTCTTGCAGCTTCAACACTTTTAGTTTTCTGCTTTTGGTGTACATAATTCATTGGTATGATGAATTAAGTTTTTACAGTTTGATGTCCCATTGGACCTTGCAGTATGTTACAACCTTGTATATTTGCAGGCAACAATACAAACATTGTTGTGTTGGCTTGATGAGAGTTTTGTATCTGCAGGTTTATCCCAGAGTCTCCCCGATGGCTTCTCTCTCAGAACCAGAATGCCAAAGCTGTGAAGATCACGCAGGCCATGGCCAAAGAGAACAAGAAGACGCTGTCCACGAACATCGAGGTACTGCTGGGTTAGAAAGGATTTTAAAAAACAAACAAAATGCATCTGGTAAAATATAGTTTAGGAAAAGAAAAACACTTTTTTTCAAACTGTATTTCCTGCTTTTAACACCGCTTTCTTACATTTTTCAAAAGCGAGCACAATATTGAAAAATGTTGCACACACCCATCCACTGCATTGCAGAGTCAGCGCTTTGTTTATATGAATTGTTAAGTATTTGAAATGGTGCATCATCCTAACATCATGTATATTGTAATGTTCACTTCTGCAGACTCTGACGGATGATAACGCAGAATCCCGCACCGCCTCCTTCATGGACCTGATCAGAACTCCAAAAATGAGAAAACACACTCTCATCCTCAGCTTCAACTGGTGAGTAAGAATGTGATTGTAGCTCAAAATTACAATGTTTATGTTTTATGACATTTTCACTGAGATTAGATTAGATGACTACAACTCCCAGGGTGCCTTTCTGTCTGAAACAAATTACTTTCAAAGGAACATTTGACACCTTTTATGTGGATGTTCAATCAGTGTTGATGGTAAATGTGGTCAATTAAGACATTCTTCAGTGATGTACTTAGTAAAAAGTGCTAACTTAGTAGAGCAGTCAAAATGAAATCTTATTTTACTTCTTGAAAGCTCATTATGTTCGTTAACAGCTGTGGGTTTTAAGATTGGATTGTAGGTGTGAGATTAGATTAATCTAACAACATGAAATCCTAAACTAGTGGTGTAACATAAAATGTACAGAGGTTAAATAATTGCTTTACTTTACAGACACCTTAACAAGCTGCAGTGTTAATGTTAAAGGTCACCTGTTATGCAAAATCCACTTGTTCATGTCTCTTCTACATCAACATGTGTCCCCTCTTCTTCATGTCTCTTCTACATCAACATGTGTCCCCTCTTCTTCATGTCTCTTCTACATCAACATGTGTCCCCTCTTCTTCATGTCTCTTCTACATCAACATGTGTCCCCTCTTCTTCATGTCTCTTCTACATCAACATGTGTCCCCTCTTCTTCATGTCTCTTCTACATCAACATGTGTCCCCTCGTCTTCATGTCTCTTCTACATCAACATGTGTCCCCTCTTCTTCATGTCTCTTCTACATCAACATGTGTCCCCTCTTCTTCATGTCTCTTCTACATCAACATGTGTCCCCTCGTCTTCATGTCTCTTCTACATCAACATGTGTCCCCTCTTCTTCATGTCTCTTCTACATCAACATGTGTCCCCTCTTCTTCATGTCTCTTCTACATCAACATGTGTCCCCTCTTCTTCATGTCTCTTCTACATCAGCATGTGTCCCCTCTTCTTCATGTCTCTTCTACATCAACATGTGTCCCCCTCTTCTTCATGTCTCTTCTACATCAACATGTGTCCCCTCTTCTTCATGTCTCTTCTTCATCAACATGTGTCCCCTCTTCTTCATGTCTCTTCTACATCAACATGTGTCCCCTCTTCTTCATGTCTCTTCTTCATCAACATGTGTCCCCTCTTCTTCATGTCTCTTCTACATCACCATGTGTCCCCTCTTCTTCATGTCTCTTCTTCATCAACATGTGTCCCCTCTTCTTCATGTCTCTTCTACATCACCATGTGTCCCCTCTTCTTCATGTCTCTTCTTCATCAACATGTGTCCCCTCTTCTTCATGTCTCTTCTACATCAACATGTGTCCCCTCTTCTTCATGTCTCTTCTACATCAACATGTGTCCCCTCTGTGTAAAGAGACTCTGAAAGTTTCAGGAACAAAGATTCTCTCTTTTTGTCCTGATCCATTTCTATAAAAACCTGTCTGAAAATGAGCTGATCAGATTCTGGCCACTTTGTGATGTCATAATGATGTTTTGGCTTGTGTAACCATTAGCCAATCACCAACCAAGGTACCCCCCCCCCCCCACCTTATCACCTGAATCTCCTCCTAGAGCACCATTGTGTTCTTTTTAACCAAATATCTCTCAGAGGGGCGTGGGGAGGAGCTCCTTATATCAATCTAAAGTAACAGTTTCAGGGTTATCTCATTTTGAACAGAACTTCGGAAAATAACAAACAGAAATGTTCCCTGTCTCCCGCAGGTTCACCAGTGCTGTGGTGTACCAGGGTCTGATCATGAGGCTGGGGATTCTGGGAGGAAACGTCTACATCGACTTCGTGATCTCCGGCCTGGTGGAGTTCCCCGCTGCCTTCCTCATCCTCTTCACCATCGAACGCATCGGCAGACGCATCCCCTTCGCCTCCGCCAACATCGTGGCTGGAGCCGCTTGTTTGATCACCGCCATGATCCCTGACAGTGAGCCAATCAGAAGTCCTCAGAGTATCATTTCCTGGTTCCCTGAAAGCCTTCCTTTGACTGTTTCTCTGTCTCTCTCTTTGCTTGCAGGCATGTTCTGGTTCAAGACGGTGGTGGCCTGCATCGGTCGGCTGGGGATCACCATGGCCTTTGAGATGGTGGTGTTTGTGAACACTGAGCTCTACCCAACGTTTGTCAGGTAAATATAGAAACTGTCCACACTCTAAAAGTCTACATTGTTGTTTGGGAGGGATGGGTTAGGGTTAGGGGGTTAGGGTTAGGGTTATGGTTAGGGGGTTAGGGTTAGGGTTAGGGTTATGGTTATGGTTAGGGTTAGGGGGTTAGGGTTAGGGTTAGGGTTATGGTTAGGGGGTTAGGGTTAGGGTTAGGGTTAGGGTTAGGGGGTTAGGGTTATGGTTAGGGGTTAGGCTTAGGGTTATGGTTATGGTTAGGGGGTTAGGGTTAGGGTTAGGGTTATGGTTAGGGTTAGGGTTAGGGTTAGGGTTAGGGGTTAGGGTAGGGTTAGGGTTAGGGTTAGGGTTAGGGTTAGGGTTAGGTGTTATGGTTAGGGTAGGGTTTTAGGGTTATGGTTAGGGGTTTAGGTTGGGTGAGGGTTATGGTTAGGGTTAGGGTTAGGGGTTAGGGTTAGGGGGTTAGGGTCAGGGTTAGGGTTAGGGTTAGGGTTATAGGGTTAGGGGGTTAGGGTTAGGGGGTTAGGGGGTTAGGGTTAGGGTTATGGTTAGGGTTATGGTTAGGGTTAGGGTTATGGTTAGTGTTAGGGTTAGGGTTAGGGGGTTAGGGTTAGGGGGTTAGGGGTTAGGGGGTTTAGGTGTTTAGGGGTTAGGGTTAGGTGTAGGGTTAGGGTTAGGGTTAGGGTTAGGGGGTTAAGGGGGGTTTAGGGTTTAGGGTCAGGTTTAGGGGGTTAGGGTTAGGGGGTTAGGGTTTTAGGGGGTAGGGTTCTTATGTTAGGGTTTTATGCGTTTTAGGGTTAGGTGTTAGGGTTAGGGTTAGGGTTAGGGTTAGGGTTAGGGGGTTAGGGGGTTTAGGGGGTTAGGGTTAGCCAATACAAAAGACATTTCCAAAAATGCCTTTTGTATTGGTTTATTGGATAGGGACAGTACAAAGTATAGGATGTACAAATGCCAATTTAAATCTGTAGTCACTGAATACACAAGTAAAAAAGACTAAATGCATTTTATTACATCAAGTTAAAAGAATCACAATTCAGGTTTGCCATTATTTAAGATCCTGAAAGTGAACTTTCCCTTATTGGACAGGGATTAACCTTTTCAATATCTCCTTCCCTTTACGGACAACACAGTTTGTCCAAATGTTGTTGTGGTGAAAGTATGTTAGCATGTTAGCCTGCTTAAGATCCATGCTAAAAGTTAGCAAGGTAAAATGCGCTAGACTTTGCTGCTGTACATCCATGTTAACTACCTGAATATTTTAGCATGCTCAGTGAGTGTGAAATTCTCCCTAAATTGAACAGATAATCTCTTTCATTTAGCTAACAGTATGCATGTTCCACTGCTGACAGCCTCAGGTAAATGAATTTGGAGCATACACCACATATTTGCACAGGTTTAGTGGACACAAAAGCTGTGAATTCCCCCCTCAGTGTTTTAAAAATAGACACACTGTATGTGCATATTATCTCTAACTGAACCAAACCCAATGATCTGGTTGTCTCTTCTGTCTCTAGGAACTTTGGAGTGTCTGTTTGCTCGACTCTGTGTGACGTCGGAGGCATCGTGGCTCCCTTCCTGCTCTACAGGCTGGCCGTCATCTGGCTGGAGCTGCCTCTCCTCATCTTCGGTGGGTTTTATATTAATATGAGCGATAAAAAACGAATAAAAGTGATAAAAACTATGACACTTATGGTTAGAAAAATATCACTTGTCCCCCGGCTTGAGCTTCAATCTCAGGATCCATGTATTTAAGATCCTCTCCAGAATGGAAGTAGTCATCACATACAGAGCATCAACTAGTTCCTGAACAGTGTCCTTCACATGCTGATATACAAGAGAGGGAGTTACACAGTCACAAGATGGAGGAATAGAAAGCAGTATTCAATGTTTACTTCAGATTAGCTCCACGTCAGAAATGATCATGCTTGTCATATGTCTATCTCCATAGAGGCTGAATCATCATGTTAATCACATAGCTATCATATGCCTCAAACAGTCCTGATGCTCTTCTAGGTAATCATACATCCTGTCATGTACACAGCTACAGTTGGGATACCTTTGTTATCACGTGTACTCTGATATTGAAGGAGTACATTGAGTATTTTCCCAACACTTATTATTTTGTCTGTGTTGTGCAGGGTCTCTTGCCTTCGTGGCGGGGGGTCTGGTTTTGCTGCTTCCTGAGACCAGAGGCCTGCCGCTGCCCGACACCATCGACGACATTGAGCACCCAGAGAGGTGAGAATGCAGCCGTTTATTTAATATATCCATCTTTATACGACACATTTTGGCATAATCCATGTGAATAAAGAAGTCTGAAAGGCTTTGTATCTGTGTGTATGTATATTATAGTATTCTGGATCCAGTTTCTTACCTATTGTTGAAGATGCCTTGGTGTTTTCACAATAACATGCATTCGTTCAAGGGCTGCAACAAAGGCTAAATGTTTGTTATGGAAACATTTTCGAGGTTTTATTCTCAATTAAAAGTGTTATTTATGTCATAAAATAGTTTGTTATGATTCTACATACGTCTTAAATTGTCCTGTTGATCCGGACCAACCAGAAACTATTTATATTGTTGTTTTTTTGTCATAAATAATGTGTGTGTGTGTGTGTGTGTGTTCAGGAGGATGGAGAAAGCCGCCCCGAGGAACCAGCAGCGGACCAACCTGCTTCCCACTGAATACATCTCCAACAACAAAGAAACAGCTACGGTTTAACTGTGACTGACAGAAGTATTTATTTATGTTGTGTATCTGTTGCCCGTGGATTTATTAGATACCTCTTCGATTTTTGGATTTCACTGTGCTGTGTCAAAGTTTCCTCTGAATATTATCACACACAAACGATTTAAGCCTCAGGGACGAGTGACGTTGGATTGAAGTGTGTGAAGAGAGACGTTAATCATGTTATTATAATTATTATCATTATTATTATTATTAGGGGCGACTGTGGTTTAGTGTGATGATCACAGGTTCAATCAACATGTTGTTGTGTCCATGAGCAAGGCACTTCACCCTAAAAGCTCCTGTGGGGATTGTCCACAGTATTGATGTATTACATGTCTAATATATGTAAAGTGCTTTGAGCACTTGGAAAAATGCTGTAATTAATGCCATGAATTATTATTTTTATTAAATTATCAAAGAGCTTTCTATTAACATAACATGAGCGGAAAGTGTTTATAAAAAACATGTATTAAACATTTCCCCTGACCTCACATTGAGCATTTTGGTTTTCAGTTTCTATCTTCTGCTGCATCAACTAACATCAGACATGTATTTCTTTGGTTGGTTTAGTCACTTAGTTTAAAAAAAAAAAAGCTTCAACATTTTCAAATAAAGATATTTTGAAATTTGTTCTGCTTTTTTGTCCATTAGAGTGTCATCGTACAAAAACCCTAATTGTTTGGTTATAGTATAGTATATTAAAATAAGAAATAGTATAGTGTGTTGAAAATATAAAGAGTCATAGTTTATTTTGTCACAAAACTATGCAAAAATATCACGCGGGAAATATCAGATGGGAGGCTGTGGCTCAGTGGGTTAGTGCGCTGAACTTAGTGCGCTGAACTTTGAATCAGGGGAGCACAGGTTCAAACCCCACTGCAGTCAGCATGTCGTTGTGTCCCTGAGACACTTCCCCCCAAATTGCTCCTGTGGGGATTGTCCACAGTATTGAGTATGAAAGAGACGCTTTGGATAAAAGCGTCTAATAAGTAACATGTAATGTAATTCTGAATATCAGAAAAAATGACATAGTATAGAATGTTGAAAATGTACAAAAAGACCTTCCATGTTGAGATTTTCAGCAATAACTAAATAGGATATAACTGTCTTACTTGTGTAAAACGTCAACATAGTAAAGTATGTCAAAAGTATCAGAAAAGACGACATAGTAAAGTGTGTAGTAAATATGCAAAAGGAAGACATGGTAAAGTAACCTCAAATTTTCAGATAAAAAGACAAAATATAGTTTGTTGAAAAATGTGCAAATAAACGACATAGAATAATATGTTAAAAATCTACAAAAAGATGACATGAATATAAATATGCCCCAAAACTACTTAGTATAGTGTGTCGACATTTTCAGAAAGAACAACATAGTATGTTGTAAATATTACAAAAGTACCAACCAAAGTGTCAAAAATAATTATGTTATGCATACAGTAATATGTTATATTCTGGTGCAGGGGATACAACAAAGCAGTCAAACAAAGAAATATAATTTTTAAAGCAAAGTTTATTGCATATAAAGTCAAATACAAGCTAACAAAGGAACAGAAGCAGTGGCTGATAATGCAGCAGAAACTTACTGGATGAGAGAGAGAACGCTGATGAAGCTTCACAGTTTTTAAAGTTCAGCCAACTTTTCAAAAAAACGACATAGTATGTCCTGCAGGGGTTTATATAGCAAGAGGCAAATTACCCAGGATGGACTCCATTTCCCACACTGCTGAGCAGGAACGTAGATAGAAAGAAACACATTTAGACCACATGGAATACAATGCAACATAATATGAACAACCCTCTTCACAAGCGATGTATATTGCATTGTATGAGAAAACTGTTTTGCTTCTATGCTTAAAAATATCACCTCCACCTCTCTATTAAGAGAACTGAAGCATTACAGGCATCATGACACGGCGCTGTTCTGACACAGCGGCATGTTTTGTCCAATAGGGAGCATCAACCAGTCACATACCTTAAATCACATGCTCTGCCGAACCCTAATTAGATACGGAAAGGGTTAAACAAAAGGTGGATGGAGTCAACAGTGTATGTGTGATAGAGAGAGGGAAACACAGGAAAAGACAAGCACACAAGAGCTCAATGAGGAATACAATGCGTATGATGCTAGGGACGTAATATTAACAGATTGTTCTAAATCTCTCTTCTCTTCAAGGCGATGTTTGCCTTACCTTCATACTGGACAAACCGGTAACTTTCTCGCAAGTCCCGCAGTACGATGTGTGTAGAGGTGTGTGTGTGTGTGTAGATGTGTGTGTGTGCATAGAGGTGTGTGTGGTTTTATTCTCCAACCATCTGCTTTCTTTGGAATATCATTTAGCTAAGTGCCTCTGCTGCTATAGCCAGGGTGATCTCATCTCTTGTGTGCACCCGGGCTGAATTGTGAATTTTTAAGAGTGAGTAAGGACTTAGCTGGGAACTTCCTGCCAAAGAGAGGGAGAGAGAAGAGAGCTAGCAGGGGACACACTGGGATTCAGTGTGTACCTGAGAGAGAACCGAGGAGGTAAGATGAGTCAAAACAACGGACACACACTGACAGCCCCTGGACCTGACTTGACCAGCATCAGCGAGTTGAAGCCCTCCACCTGTCAACCTAAACCTGTGAGTATCCTTCAGCCTTCATCCATTTACAGCTGCAGTATCAGAGTTGTTGACAGCAAAGGCGACCCAAGTCAAATGTAAACTTTGGAGTTTAATTATGTTTCTCTTACTTGATAGTGAAAGCCTGCCAAGACACATTTGTGTTCAGGACTTGAGGCGACTTATTTCACGGTGGTCATGATCTGACCTGTCATCTTTATCAAAGGTAGCCCTGTTAACAAAACGAGGGTTAATATCATGATTACTAGCAAGTGCAGCATTGAAGGCCTCAGTAAGAAAGAAAGTTAGGTTGAGATATCGTTAGGTGAAGCAGGAGATAGAAACTCAGAAAGGCTTTATTGTTAGAAACTGAGCAAAGCACAGAGGGCTCTTGTTAGTGCGAATGCTGTGCAACAGAATTTGTTTTTTTTTTGCATGAAATGCATTTTCTAGTTTGATATCAGGTGCAAGGTTGTCTGTGAAGGCTATCGTTTGGATTTCTTACCTGGAAAGGATGCAGCAAAACACAAAAAAAGACAAAAACAACTGCTACTGCAGTCCCTTACAGGATGTAGGGAGTTGTCTCAGTTGTATGTTAAAAAAATGTGAAACTAAATATTTGTTAAATACTCTTTAAGCAGTGGAAGTACGTTTTCAACCCCAGGTTTCAGGTTAAAATATCTTCATGGTATTATCTGGTCTTTAAAAACTACTGACATTACAGTAATATAATTTACAAAAGTATAACAAAACCACAGAACCTCAACATGTGTTGTGGTTATAATAAAGTGTGAGCACCATTATAAACAGTGTGCTATATTCTGTGTTGTTGTCCCAGTCTCCTAATGCTTAAAGCTGGCTACACACCAACCTGATTTTGGGAGTCAGAGGCCGTCAGAGGCAGTCGGGCATTCGCGGCGCCCTACTCAGGTTGGTGTGTCCCGCACCGTCGTCTCTTTACGGCACTTTCTCTGACCTCCGGCCGCGGGAGGTCAGAGAAAGTCGGCCCAAGCAATCACTCTGATTGGCTGTTCACACTACCGCTGCCTGCTGGTAAAGACAGTTATTGCCACTCGTCGACTGAAGTATTTGCGGTGTGTTCGTAGGCGGGCGTCGTAGCGGGCGGCATAGCCGACGCAGGCGACTTAGCTGGCGTAAAAGTCGGGACGCGTTCGGTACGCGTTCTTTGGTCTCAGGTGGGTGTGTAGCGGCCTTAACAGGCCGACTCGGTATGTGGGCCTGCACTATCAGAGTCTTGCAAAGGAAAGTATTTCTTATCACATCGTCACCTCTATTGTCACAACAACTCACTCAGTTTACCCACTGTTGGCATTAAATAAAGCCTTTATTAAATAGTTTATTTCTACTTGGAGCTGCAAATCAGAAAACACTTTTCCAATATTCCACTGCTCACAGTATTAATAATGCACTGCGTTTGTTGTTGGATAACAACAAAAAGAAGGAAAACTTGTTTATGAAACAACATTTGTGTGGCAACAATTGTATTAAGGTGTTAGGCGTGCTTGTACAGAGATATCGTTGATATCGATAAAGCCACGCTTGCAGTTTCTCCGTATTACAGTCATCATGCTAAGTTTTGCTAAGCTAGCTGATGTGTCTCGCTCTTCTCAAATAAGGCAATTGTGATTGTTAACAAAAACTAAAGCTGGATGTTAATGCAACTTATTTTTACTCTAGCCAAAGCCGGAGAATGCCATCACCATCGGCATCGGCATCTCGGTACAAGTCCTCTTAAACATGGAGAAGGAGCAGCAGGTGGAGCATGAGTGTCGAAAAGCTGAACGTAGGTGGCGAAAAACAAATCTCCAGGTTCACTTTGAAATCTATAAAGACTTGGCTTTTATAATTTGGAATTGAAAATTGCACGACAGTCTTTCTTCTCTGACATCATTACCAAAAACAAAAACAACGCACGTGCCTTGTTTGCTACCGTCGACAGACTAACTAACCCCCCAGTGTCAGTAGCCTCTGAATTTCTATCCACCAGGGCCTGCAATGATTTTGCCTCCTTCTTCACTGACAACATTCAGAAAATCAAACAAGCAGTCAGTGCCTCTGCATCAGGTACAGCAAATGTGTTGTCCCTGTGTTCACTTAAAATCAATTCAAACACCATGACACAATTACATCAGATTAATGATAAAGACCTATGGACATTATTCAACATCTGAAATCCTCCTCCTGCTGCCTTGATATTATTCCAACAGGATTTTTCAAAGATGTTTTTCCTTGCATGGCCTCAGATCTACTTCATATAGTAAACACATCTCTTCACTCAGGTGTTTTTCCAGAGGCCCTGAAAACTGCAGTCATTAAACCGCTCTTAAAAAATAATAATCTAGATGCTTCAGTAATGAACATTTACAGGCCCATATCAAACCTCCCATTTCTAGGTAAAATCATAGAAAAAGTTGTTTTTCAACAGTTGAGTAATTTCTTGCATTTAAATAACTGTTTCGATGTGTTCCAGTCAGGCTTTCGACCAAACCACAGCACTGAGACTGCTCTTGTAAAGGTCTTCGGCGCTTTCACACCGCAGTACTTTTCCCACAAAGGTTCATCAGAACTTAGTTCATGAGAACTCTTTAGTTCAGTACGTGGTATTTTGTGCTGTATATATAACCTATTTATTGTTAAATCATGCCCTAACACAAGTGTTCTTAATGCACAAGAGAAACAAGGTGTTCAGACCAAAAAACTCAAATATAGTTTAAAACAGCAGAAAAATACTCATGATACCCTAGAACTGTAAGTACAGTCAAAGTACTTAGTTATAATGAAGTACACAAATGACATCACCCATCTCTTCAGAGAGCTAGAGGTGACCTGTGCAGCAACACATTTCAATATGTGTCAATACTAAGAGCTGCTAGATTGTGCTGCTGTAATGTAATATGTAAG